CTCCATACCAGCTCACTAGCAAGCACCATGTAAGAAAACATAAGATGATCAAATAAAATGTTTTATGGTGAAATATATTTATTACCTTTTGATTTTTTTTTCAAATGTCAAAGCCAGTAGAGAAGAAGAGATCCGTTTTCGTCCATTACATAATGGACCATATTATTACATTTCCATAAAAAAGTGCAACCCATGCAATTTGTAATAGCTACTGCATTATGTAAGAATTTATGACAAAATGCGGAAAAAAATTATTGCATATTGTTACATAATGCAGGTGTATTTACAAAAATTTATTACTTCTATTTAAGTACATAATGTGTTGTTATTACATAATGTGGTGTTACACACCCTAAGGAGCAGAAAGGAACAGGGACTGGGGATAAGACTGCAAGGGTGTAATTGTAATCTACTCTCTGACCCACCTGAATCCCTGATCTTTATGCACAGGTAAAATGGTTGACATGGCTGAAGAAGTAACGTGTTTCTCAGGGAGCAACAAAGGCAGTAACTCAGAGGTCCAATCACTGAGCTCCTTCCAGTCTGACTCCTGTGATGACAATGGTAAGACACATTTTCTCACAACGAGATTGATTCAGGATCACATGGCCATAGTGTCCTCACTTTGATTGAAGTCGAGGATATTTGTTGTATGTACACATGTACATGTCTCTCTGCCATGTTGCCATGTTATCCTGACCATAGAGTTCACAAACTTTTTCTCACAACTGTACATAGTCCTTATAATGATTTCTCAGCAGCATAATTTTAAGCTTCACAAAGAGACCGAGCGGATTTGACAGCTTTACAGTGGTGTTGGTGGTCATGGTCTTTGTTCTGGAACCATGTATTTTGTTTTGTGAGTCATTTTCACTGCATTGTGCTGGTCTCACCTCTTTTCTTTTTTTGCAACCCATGGAAAACTTTTGAGAATGGTTATTATTCAACAATAATCATTAACTGATTGAAAATGCTGCAATTGTCATTCCTGTGCTTGCTTAAGTCAGACTGGTGTCATCAGATGCTTAAGTGTCAGCACTGAAAATAAGCAGTAGTAATGTTTGAGTGGCTTTATACTTCATATTGTTTTGTTCTCACATGTCTTTTTTCGCATTCATGAACTAAATTTTCTTTGTTTAGTAATGTAAACTATATCTGAGTTCTGCACATTAACAGTATTGTGTGTAAATTGCCCCCAATTTAAAAAATCTGAAGACTTGACTGTGTATGAGGCACACCAGGCAGTCATCTCTGCAGACATGTGTCAACCATAAGTAATGCTATAGGTGTGAGGGTACACACCTGAAAACACCATGATGAGCAGTTTTCATTTTGAATGACTGTATTTCAAAACTTGTCTCCTCCTTTTTTCCTTCCACAAGCCTCCATAGTGACTGTCATTCGACTGGTCAATGATGCAGTCGACACAATCGAAAGTGAAGGTACCATGTTTCAATCCCCCTTGTGTCTATCCTCTCATTATTCCACTGTTCTCTTATCTCAGTCTTGTTATTACAGTGTCTCTTCTGAAAGAGGTTTCTTCAGTAATATAACCAAGTTAGATACTCTAAGAGAACCCTTTGTGTACAATCAATCAATCAAATTTTAGTCAGGGTTACAAATTATTTTTTTATTATCCCAGTCAGAGAGTTTCTTCAACCTATTCCCTGTTTTCTAATGAGTATTTTCAGAATCTTTTTTTAAAAGACCAGTGATTGCAAACAATGTTCCACCAATAGCCAACCATCTGCTGGTTTCCATTGCAATTGATCATCATTATAGATGGTTTAATTTTTCAGTCCCTGCCTTCTACTTTACTTGTTGAACAGTAGAATAATTGTTGGATCTTGGTTGTAATAAAAACCTGCAGGCCGTTGGGTCTTTGTGGCCAATCAGCTTTTACACTTCACAGTTCCTGTAAAAAAGCAGTGGGATCAGATCCGCTGCCCTCTCAATCAGGACCTAGAGTTTTAGAAAACCCTCCTTCAATAGCAACAATTTCACACTGGTATTATAGCAAGTAAATTAATGAGTGCCCAGAGCCCTCTCCACCGTACATCTTATGCATACTACATTAACAATTGTGGACACACTCAGAATCCAAAGTTAAAAACCTCTATGTTATGTTGTTCTTCCATCTGACAGTGTCAGTCATGGACCAAGGTCAAACCTACAACAGAGGTGAAAACCAGCCCCTCTTCCTCTATCTATCTATCTATCTATCTATCTATCTATCTATCTATCTATCTATCTATCTGTCTGTCTGTCTGTCTGTCTGCAGTGAGTAGACAAAATAAAGTTCATTCAAATATTGCAAAAAAAGGTTGGCTATATTAGGCTGTATCTCAATCAGAAACATTTTTCAACTTGGAACCTCTCTAGAGCTGATGTAGGTGTTACTCAATAAATGAATCCATAGACTGTATTAAATACTTGAAGTGCTGATTACCACACATGTTTTTTAACCTCCACTAAAAAGCAAGTGGATTGTTCGAGCCATTTTAAAAATACACCAGAATGGTAACAACAAACTGTAGTAGTAAGGCTAGTGGAGAGGACACATAACTGTCTTGTTTCCAATCAAAAAGAGTGTCAGTCAACTAAGGTGTCTGTTAATGAACAAATCATTGATACCGAACATTCATGCAAACAATGAGAAATTTAGTAATGAACCATTAGATAGTATGAAAAAAGTAGTTGATCCTCTGTCAAGCCCATAATCACCAAAGCTAGGCTATTGACATTTTTTGTCTACCCCTGTATCTTTCTACCTCTGTGCTTTCATACTTCCAGTCTTTATTACTGATCATTTTTCTCCTCATTTGCTCTCCTAGTCAGAGCTGTGTGTATATGTGCCCTCCCCCCACCCCACCCCACCCCATCCCACACTCCCAACGGTCAGATTGTTTTATCCAGCCAAGTGATGGTATTGTACCGGTTGTTGCTTGATGAGGTTTTCACAGCTTCAGTCTTCAGATTGTTTGCATTCTGCTTTGATGCATGGATATCTTTGTTTGTTTTGTCATTGCTTTTGTTTTAACTTCACTCACCATGTGCTCTTAAATGGCATCTGCCTTCAGTTAAATAACTCTAAAGAGCTCTTGGTACATTGTCTTCTTGGTCAGCCAAAACTTGTGATGAGATTCATCATTCATGCTGTGTTAGCAGACTGTTGGCTCCAGTGCTTAGTGCTTCAGTAAGTCACTTCTCAGATTGATTGTATGGAGGCTTATTCATTATATTCCCACTGTATTTAAGTATTTGCCAGTGGCAACATGGTGCATCTGAGCTAGCAACCTATTAACCACACATAGAGTAGATGTACTTTATCACTTTGCTACGCTGACCAATTGGACAATCTACCAGCTATTTGTTGTATCCTTCTAACATCCAGAATCAAATATTGCTGTTTTTTCTTCTACATGGCTTGGTTGCTGCAGTTTTTCATGATGATCGCAGCATGCTGTGACACCTGTGACCCTGACCCTAAAAGGCTCCTATTGTGCATGTCACATACCTCCATAGACTTAAAATGTTTTCTGTACAGATTGTGCCATGTCATATACTTGACCTTCAACACCTATGTGTAATGTTGATGTGAGTGTGCTGAGTTCACTGTGCCTGGTGCATACTCAGGGCATGTTTCTACATTGTTGAAACCAGTTTGTTGGCTCAGCCACATCGGGGGCTGTTCATTTTTAAAGTGCTGATTGTTAGTAACCATCTGCCCTTCTACTGTCCAGCATATCACTGGGACACATCGGACTGGATGCCAAGCACCAGGCTGTCAGACATTGAAGAGGTGCCGATCTACGAGACAGGTCCTGGCAGTGAAGTAGCATGCTCAGTGCCCCGACATGGAGGAAGCACACGTGAACTGGAGTCAGACTACTACCTGGGGGGCTACGACATTGACAGTGACTACCCTCCTCCTCACGAAGAGGAGTTCTTGAGCCAGGACCAGTTGCCGCCTCCGCTGCCCACAGGTGAGGACTATCCAGAGCCCGACTCACCACTGCCCACCAATCCACCAGCCTCCAAGGAGAGCACCCTGAGCTCTGGCAGCACTGGGCCTCAGCATTCCAGGCCACACTTCCACCCCAGTCAGTACCTACCTCCTCACCAGCTACCCCTTGGGGAGACACCTCATGGGGACTTAAGCACTTGTGGCATAACCCCAGGAAATGGGGACACTGATGACTCTGTTTCACTAAATATGCGACTGTCTGTTGGAGCATCATCAGCCTCAGACATGTCAGCTCCCTGTGGGCTGGATGATTCTGAACATGGCAGTGACTTTGATAGTATGGACGAGCTTCGTCGAGGGGTGACCATCATCACTGACTCACAGCAACAGACTGAGGTGTGATTGATTGAATGGGTCAGAAGGAGCATAAGATTAGTGCAGATGTAAGGAGATGCACAAGTGGATGTTATCACAGGTGAAGAAATGCTTTTTCAGCAACACTAGGGACTGCTACAACCACATACTGGAAGAGCAACATTGATATCAGAAACTTAAAACCGCATTTCACTTGTTCATGCAACCCTTTTTCGCAGATGTGAATGTTGTACGATACCATGAACGACCTACTAACCATGTGTCAGACTTGCAGACTGCAGGGCAAACACAATCCTTTTCCATTTGGGAGTCAATTGTAATGTGAGAAAAATGGTATTGAGAAAGTGAATGAGAAAGACAAATCCAAAAGAGGTAGAGAAACATTGAAAGAAGAGAAAGGACAATCATAAAGTGAAAGGGTTTTTTAGGTTCCTGCTCCTTCACAGAAGCCCATCAGACCATTTCTTTTGAAAAAACAAACAAACAGACAAAAAACAAATTCCGTTTTCCCTCTTGGATTTGTAACCTTTGTGGTGCTCCAAGCTTGTACAGACTTCGTAAAATAGTTTGCCCTTACATGTGAATAAGTATGAAACAATGTTCTGGCCACATATCAAAAAAACATTTTTTTGTTTAAATGTGGAATGTGCTTGCTCCTTTTCCAGAAGTATCAAAGCTTCCATCATGTCACAACATTTCATTGATCTCATTTAATTGGCACAAAATGTCCATTGTGTCATGAATCTTTCAATTTCCTTATTTTTTGTGATGAAGCTAATAGCTGATGCAGTTTCTAATGTATTTCAAGGCCTGTTGTCTCAAGATCACAAATCAGTCTAATTTATCTCCAGATTATTTATATTTTAGTCTTTAAAGACTAGGAAAAATATTTAGCCCAGCATTGTCCTAGGTTAATCAAGATTTTTGAATCATTGTGAAGGATAAATAGCTAACCAGCTATTACACATGCAATGCCGTTGCACTGTTTGGAATAGTAACAACAATGCCTAATGCTGCTCTATTTCACTGGACTTTTAATTGTAATGGACTATGTTTATACTGAATAGTCTAAATAATTTCCACAAATAAATGCAGACATCACAAAAACATAGTATGTTGTGTTTAAATACTTTATCTTTGCATAACCACATCGTTAAGTAGTATCGCTGAGACAGAAATCCTCTGAAATATAGATTAGTAGCTACTCTAAGCTTCAGTCATTTTGTGTTGCTTTATCTATGTTGCACTTGTCATGGTGTTTTTGATGAAATATAGTGGTGCCATGTTCAGAAATCCTGCAGGTGGTGGTAGGCCACTATAATTGTTCTTTTCAAAGCAGTGAAAAGACATTGTAAAGGTGAAAGTGTCACTTCAGAGTTGAAAACCTTTGGAAAAAAGCACCAGCTGGATTATGCTGTTAAAGTTGAGACAAATTATTTCCAGACATCCACGTGGAGTAGATACATTGCTAAACTATTGATTTTCTGTGTTTTCTGATACTTACTCCTCACCTGATTTTCAGACAGAAGTTAGTCACTAATGGCTTAGTTTCCATTCTGAGTCCAGTACAGACAGCACATCCGAGTGCTTCAGATTTTCACTGTATTGCTCTATACTGTAGAACTGCCTGATCCACTTGGACATGCAGCTCCCTTTCTCTTTGTAAAAGATGTATGTTTGTGTTTAAACCTCTGTACAGTGTACATAACTAGGATGTTAAATTGCAGATTTTGTAGATAAGGAATCCTGAGCTGCAATTGAGCTTATCTTTGATTGTCTGATGTGAATGTGGACATTAAGAGACTGTGGAATATCAAATATTTTCTCATCATTCTTCTTCTGCCACTGATTTGCTCAAAATTGTTACTCTTGTAGTATTGCTTTTTAATTCCACAAGAAAGACATTTCTATTATAAATGAGTTTTGCACAGTAGTGAATTCAGACATTACATCCCAGAAGACGTTTTGCATTTTGTTATCGTAAGTAGGGAACCTTTTTGTTTAATTCTTTCATGTTGCTGGATGTTTTGATGAATTTCTAATGCTCTTGTCCAAAATATGTCCCCTGTCTGCAGAAACTGAGTGTATAAAATTATCTTGTTTTTTTAAAAAACTTTTTTTTAAATTCAGTGCAGAAAATAAAACGGTTCTTGCTCGTCATGACAACTGTTCTCAATTCTGAGATGATTCTCCTTCGACATATTATCGTAGCCGTTTACTGGCTGTCATGTTAAATATATGTGATAATACTTTGCATTGCGAAGTCACACACATCTGACATGTTGTGCTAAATACGAAATCACAGCTGATTCACCCATAAACACTTGTGGTGAATGGAGAGATTCTTGGAGCTGGGAAGACAATTGTTTCTTATTGTATAGTAATTGTGGTTATTTTTTAAAACAAGCTGCAGCAGAACAGTGATAGCCTGAAAAGTACAAGAAAGCACTCAGAAATGCCAGAACCTCTTATTATTAATTATTATTAATAGAAGAAGATAAGAACTACCCCAGGTTCCCCTTCAGCACTGTATCCAGGCTGACAGAAAGTCACAGGTCTACTGACCCATCCATACCCATAACCCTTTTCGCAAGAAAAACTATAACCATCAGGGATAAAATCCACCACCTCCTCCCCATGAATAGCACAGATACATTGTCTTTTCCTTAAACCGTAGAACCACCTGTAGCACCAGATTTATATTTGAACCATTTCTCTTCTATTGATCTTCCTGAACTGACCTCATTAGTTTCATCATCTAAACCAACTAAATGTGTGAAATTGACGGACCTGATTGGTCACCACCCCAGCAGCAGCAGGTGCTGCTGTGCCGTGAGACGGGCGAGGAGGACTCGACGATGATGAGTGAGTGGAGGCAGACATGGTGAGTAACATTAGCCCGGGGCTGGCTAGGCTACATTTTTGAGACATGTCCAAAACAAAGTAGAAAACGTTTTTACATTGAATGTGATGTGACCTGACTAACTGCATACTAGTGAATGCAGCTGCCGCTAATGCTAACATAGCTCCTCAGGGATTGAAGCCGTTATTTTTCTAACTTTGACAATCTAACATGTGATAACAAATTAGCCCAGAGATGAAGGGCTGTGACTGTTGGTAGTCGTGGTGGATTTTGTTTAAATATGCCGAATTTTTATATTACTGGTTATTATTGTTCAGATGATATAGCTGAGCTAGCTAACGGCTGCTAACGGCAGCAGTCTCTGGTTGCCATAGCAACAGTAAACATTCATGTGGACTAATGAGCTGTAAATAGAGATGCAGAATCAAACTCCTTATATGCGGGCCGGGTCAAGAAGAGGGCTAGATCCATCGCCACGGACCCCAGCCACCCAGGCCACAGACGTTTTTTTCCGCTTCCATCAGGCAAGCAGTATAGACACATAAGGACTACGAACAACAGACTGAGGGACAGCTTCTTCTCCAGAGCTGTCAGAGCCATCACCCCCTGCAGCCTCTCACACACATCTCACCATCCCGCAGTCACCCACATGCATTCACACACACCCCATTCACACACACCCCTTCCCCTGCAGCCACACGCACACACTCACACCCCCCTGCACACAACCCTGCAGCCGCACACACACTCCCCCATCTGCAGCCACATGCAAGCAGTCCCACTTACAACAATGGGAGACTGAAAATGACTACTGACACTGCAATCATGCACTCCACACTTCGGCCACTACATTTTACATACTGTATTTATTGTATATATTCTGTGTCATTACATGTTGTTTTCTTGTGTTTTTATGTTGTACCACGGGGCGTAGCAATCCAAATTTCGTTGAATCATGATCTATGACAATAAAGGCAATCTGATCTGAATCTGAATACTTTGAATTTTAGCACAAAATACAAATCAAATCAAATGTATTTATATAGCACGGTATCACAACAAACAGGGTGTCTCAGGGTGCTCTACAAAAGTCCAAGATCTCAAGAAAGACAACTCTAACTTGTTCCACATTGAGCAAGCATGAGCAACAGTGGGGAGGAAAAACTCCCAGGTGGAAGAAACCTCCGGCAGAACCAGGCTCGTTGAGGACGGCCTCTGCCAGGACCGGTGGGGGTGAGTGGAGAAAGAACAAATAATATAGGGGAAGAAAAGGAAATAAAGGGGGGGGGGTGGAGTCACACTCTCAGGTCAGGAATCTTCACGTGGATGTTGGCATGGTCTTCCAAGGGTGCTTGGTTCCCCCTGGGCACTCCTGCCTCCCTCATGGTCCAACACGTGCAGTAGGTGGACCCATGGCTCCAAAGGTAAGAGGTCCTCAGGTGAGAGTGCTGGTGGTTGCGTGACCCTACAGCACAAGTAAACCTATTAGAAATAATTAGTTTAATTTGCAATATTTGCCATTGAATTTATTGTAATCTTTCAATTAATTTATTTTTTACTGAGGTGATAACTATTTAATAGGTATAATTTGTGTGTAACTTTAGTTTTCAAATGGCTGTGTATAGTGCTGCCTTTTCAGGTATTGTCACAAAGACACACACACTTTCATTGATATGAATACTTGCTTTTGAGGAATGACCTCCATTTTGAGCATGTGACATGCTTTTGCAGGTTATCAACAAAGTTTTGCAGTTTGTACTGCTTTTTTTGAGAAATGCACCAACTGTTGTGCAAATGTTAGTGGCTTTGGAGCATTTTCTCACATCACTACTGAGAAAAACTGTTTAAAAAAAACATTGGGTCATATTGGACCCTGAGCACTATAGAAGGCTTTGTTGTGGAGCAAAGAAAAAAACATGAATGCAGTGTACTTATTTTTTCTGAGAATTTCTCGTACATTATTCTGTGGTTTTGAGTTATTTCCCCATCCAATGATAAATACTTTCCCTATGTCCAGCCCAGACAGGTTCAGGGCAAGTCCAACTGGTCAATTCAGGGAAAGCCCAAAGACCGCACCACCTGAGACCGCACCACCTGAGAGGGAAAAGGCTGTAGAGAGTGAGGAGTATGTCAGCCCAAGACAGGATCACATGAGAGGGAAACAGCTGTAGAGAGTGAAGAGTTTGCCAGCCCAAAGACAGGATCACTTGAGAGGGAAACAGCTGTTGAGAGCCATGAGTGTGCCAGTCAAATAACAGATTTTTTTCACAACCTGATCAGAAAAATCTCCAGTCATTTTTAAATTACCATCCTCAGCAAAAAAGTAGCAATCCAGTGGTGCAGAAAGTGTTCTGTAGCAGAGGTGGCACCAGTAGAAAGTGGCTGACATACTGTCCAGAGCGTCGCATGCTGTATTGTTTCATCTGCATGGCATTCGGTAAGAGAACTGATAGCAGTCTGTTCATCAGTGGAATGTCAGATTGGAGGCATATACACCAGCGCACAGAGGAGCATGAGGGAAGTAGTGCACACAGAAATTGTGCTGAAGCTTATCTCTTGAAATCCGCCAGTGCTTATATCAGCAGTGTGTTTGGTAGCAGTCAGATGTTGGCACACAGAGAGCAGGTCAGAAAGAGACGGCAGGTTTTGGAGCGCATCATAGATGTCATCAAGGTTCTTCGGAAGAGGGGGCTTGCATATAGGAGGTCAGAAAATGAGGCAGCATATACTCTGGAAGACCACACAGTTGATCATGGTAATTTCTTGTCCAGACCGAGGGGCAGTGACAGGAACTGGAGAGCTGCCCGCAGAAACCCCCAGCTGAGGGGCAGGAACTGGCGAGACGACTGCTTGAACCCCCGACCG